GTGGCAAGACAGTAAGCAAAAGAGAGAGGGAGGAGGTGTCAGGCTCTTCTTAACAGTCAGCTCTCCAAGGAATTATAGATTGAGAACTCATTCACCTCCAGGACAAGCATTAATCTATTCTGTACCCCGCCCCACCCCAAACACACCCCACTAGGCTCCACCTCCAACATCAGGTATCAAATTTCAACATGAAGTTTGGAACAGACAAACACCCAAGCCCTAGCAATACCATAAGAGCTTTTTTTATTAGAAACTCATCCATACAAAGCACCTTTTCATTTTACTGGAATTAAGATAGAAATTAGTTTCTTTCAGCTGATTAGAAAAACTGTGTCTCACTACTGTGAAAGTAGCATAGGAGACTTCACTGTTCATTAACAGCAAGGTTGTAGGATTTGGGGAAGAGGCATCCTCACACATCTTCAAGGTTATTCAGAATAGAAACAAACTCTGGTTTCTAAAGGTGGTGCTTTAAGAGTGGCCAGAGGGCTACACTTGTTTTGTCAATAAATCAAAAGCTTCAGTCTCCCAGGCTGTCGCTCTTATTCCTTTCTTGCTGCTGTATTCACCCGCAGCAATAAATCAATAGGCCAACCCCAGACAACCCTAAAATGTTTCAGCAGCAACAAAGAGTCTTGCGTTTGTTGGTGCTAAACCTTGCTTCTTGTGTGCTCTCTGGACACAAATAAGAAAGCTCTCACTTTGATGTGGGGGTTAAGAGAGAATCCTTTCTAAGTATATATGACATATGAGAGTCTATAAACTAAAGATGCTTCTCCCCTTGAAATTGGTCCTAAAACTGAAGTTGCAAAGTCATAATGTAAAATTGTCTGTGGGTCTTGAATAGCCCAACATTGGCACCCTCTTTGATCTTTTTATTCAGGAAGACTGCTTACATTGTGTGTCTCACCTCCTACTTCCACTAAGGTCAAATTTTCCATTCTCAGGTGAGCTCCAGAAGTCCAAACTAAGTCAAGCAATGAGAGGATTGATTTTTTCCCATGATTACTCTCTATATGTAAGACACCAGAAACTGCCATCCATTGACACACTGAAGAGGAATTAAAAGTTATTCTCTCAGACTAGTTCTAAGAATTTTTTTCGGTTTAGTTTTCTATTTAAATTGTTCAATTACGTTTAGGTTATAACATATAAAATTACATACTCAAACCATGATAGGAGTTATCACTATGATTCTAGAGATGTAGCATCAAGCATCAGCATCTTGTAGCTGCCTCTTAGCTTCCAAATTACTTAACAGAACTATCGGTCCATACTAATGTTTATTTTTCCTGAGCTGTTTTTACATCATTCTCCTGAGCTTCATTGTAAAATTTTAACTTCTATTGACATCCTTCACTAGTCTTAACTTTCAGTTTCATTTCTATATTTGTCTGCATGGGACAACTCATTTCTGTATTGTCTGTATTTTTTGTTTTCTGTATATTGTGATGTTTTGACATTTTAAAGGCCTTTCTAGCTGGGAGGGACACTACTTCTCTCAGGGATAACTCATCTTAGAAGTAGTCAATTGCCAAGGCAGTGCATGCCTTTGATATGCAAACTAACCAGACAAAAGCTATACCTTTTTTATCTGGCCCTTTTCCTCTGAGAGGTAGTATTTGTCTCCTTAACCATCTCAGTACCAGGTAACTAGAGACCACCCTAATAGCTTAAGCTCCACTGAAATTACCCAAACTAGCCAATTTAAACTGTTTACTTTGCCTTGCCTTTTTGGTAGCAATCCCAATAAATAGGATCCTCCCCCCAACCTCGTCCCTTCTGCCCTCTG